TCTAAAAATAGAACCTGTTTTGTCTTTGCCCAACCAGCCAAATGCTGGTTCCGCTGGTTTCCCCTGGCCCTGTAGCATGCAGATACAGACAAACAACATCCAACCTTCACCTAAATTGTACCCCTATATTGCCTGCCCTGCTACACTATAGTCAACCAAGCAAAACAGTACAATTTCGAGTTGGATAGAACTGAATCTGCGCAATCAATTCAACCGAACCGCAAAGCTTCCATCTTGGGTTCCTTTGCGAGCTCGTCCTTTCTGCTTGCACTGTTCATAGCGCGTACAATGTTGTGCTGAAGCGCACATTGCGCGAGTACCTGCAAATGCATCAAGCAAAAATTGCGAAAGCAAACAAGCACACGAACATTCCATTCACACCCAAATGCATTCGCACACGCATACTCGTACAAACAGACGGCATGATGCCATGCAATATGAATTTGCACCCAACACATTGCTCCTCGTTACTGTTAGAGACTAAGGACGGAGTTTATGAAGACCAGAGGCCGAAATAACTCAAAATCGTTGGCCGTGGATTCTGGACAGAACTGTCAACTTCACAAGAAACGTTGTCGACAACCAACGCTCTGTTAAAACTTCACCAATTTCGGATATGTTTTAGCTCTACACCGTGGCTACAATTCTCAATTTGAATCGTACAAAAAGGTGAATCATTATTGAGTTAGGAATTTTGGCGCAATAAGGGGTATTCTGCCACAGAAACTTAACTCAATTACAATTGTTCACACAAGAACTACAAGAGAATCAGAGAAGCTAGAAACCAGGTAGGGGAGGATGAGGAGGACGAGAGGGAAGGTCCCAAGGGAGTCCCCAACCAAGGAAACCCCATAAGCACACAATTTTCCTCCTTTAAGGAAAACCCCAACTTTGACCTTTGTCACTTTCCCAACCCATGCCATCCACCTCACCCAACTTGGCCACACTTGCCAACCTGGTTTGGCTTCTCCCAACCACTTGGCATCATCTACAGTAGAAGTGACGAATTTCCCAACCCCCAAAAGTCTATACCCCATATAGAGTCAACCCACCTATTCCCAAAGTCACTGCAACCAAATATGAAAAACATACGAACCTCAAACATTCGTAACTTTCTTGGTTGTGCTCCGATCGCGACGATTCTTTGCTTGTCGGAAAGCACTTGAGCAGAGGAGTCATTTCAGATATCTGCTAAAGCAAGATAACATTTACACAAACACACAAACACACACACACACACACACACACATACACACTCAAAGAATCCAAACCACACCAAACACAAATTCTTACATACGATTACACCACGCATGCAACGCACGAACATATGATGGGAGGCAGACAAACGTGAATGGATATAATTGCATCACACAACAGTTACTTTCTCGCACGAGAGCTGCAGCAGCGTGGTCAGCTTCGCCTTGCTTACGTGGCATCACTGATGATATCTTCACCAAGGCCCTAGGGTCTGGTGATCATCAGCATTTCGGCACTGCTCTATGCCTTGTGCCTACTTTGCCTCATTTGCTTACCTCTTGACTTTGCTTTGTCATGTGATCTGTATACCGTATTATTCTGGCTATAGGACCCATCGGTAAAAGGGTCCCCCGGGACTCTCTATAGGGTACTGTTTTGTGAGGATCCCCCTTTTGCCCCTAAACAATATAAGACCCCCCTTTCTGTACAGAGTTATTGCAAATGCAATTGTGCATCAGCTTTTAGAGGCACAATTCGAATTCTGACGCGCTGTTTGTGTCCGATTCGAATTCTGATGTGTTCTATGTGTCAGTCCCGAATTCTGACACAGATCAGACGTGCCGCTCACGTGAAACTTGCACACGAATGGTGTTTTTCATTACGAACACCCCCCTCCCTCCCTTGTACATGGTAAATCAAATCGCACTGATAGACAAATAAGTGTACCTGGGTCTTAAAAAAGTGCATGTCACCTACATGTTCACCATAGCTACATAGTTATTCGGCTTTTGTTGAGAGTCCCCAGGCTTCTGTAGCCGAAATAATACGGTATATGTCTATATGCTTACCCTTGCTAGGTTGTGATCACTATGTTGAAAAAAAAAATCTTATATATATTTGTGTAACTGCCTGTAGCTGTAGTTTAGTGTAGTTATTATATACTGTTGGTGGTGCACCTTCTTTGCATGCTCGCTTTGGTATATGTACTTCTCGCTCAATATTGAACTCCTCTTTCATTGGCCATCTCTCTCTCTCTCTCTCTCGCTCTCTCTCTCCCACTACCAAAACCCTAGCCATGGCTCCCAAGCTTAACTTTGCCCTTTGAAATGGTATCAGAGCGGGTCCCGAGCCAGGACCGTTTATTTTATGGGGCCACCAACCTCCATGGCGCGCCCCGTCGCGCTGCCCGTAGGCAGCCTCGAGAGCGCCCCGACGATCAGCACATCGCCCGCGCGCTACCTGCTGCTGCAGCCCGCCGCCCACGCGCTATCCGCTGCTTCAGCCCATCGCCCACGCGCTGCCCGTCGGCGCTTCGTCGCCTCGTCGCCCGCGGCTGTGCTGCCCTCCCTCGTCGTCCGTCCATTGGCCGCCGCTTCCTGCTCGTCGCGAACTCTGGCGAGGCCCAAGTTCCAGCCCTCCGTTTCGCCTTGTCGCAGCCCTAATCGCGACGCTCGCCGCGCCCGTTGCACACACCCGTTTCGCCCGCCCCCGCTAGTCGTCTCCCCCCCCCCCCCCCCCTCCCCCTCGTCGCGGCCGTCTGTGTCTACTGCGGCGATCGCTGTTGAAGGGGGAGGGGGAGGAAACGGGGAAGGGGATGGCGGCTATGGGAGAAGGCGGGAGTGCAGGTGGAAGAGGCGGGCTATTGGGGGAAGGGTAAGGGAGTGGGGAGAGTCTTTGCCGCACCAACAGGCGCCCCTCCTCCTCTCTCTCTTACTGCCACGCGTGCCACTGTGGGGGGAGGGTGAGAGGGTGGCGGGAGCGTACCTATAGCACCAGCAGTCGAGCATCTGCAGTTGCAACAGATGTCACTGTGGCATATCTCCTCCTGCTGCACCTGCCGCCTCTTTTACCTTCTGCTGCTGACTATTGCTGGGGCCTGTAGGTAAAGTCGTCCAGCTGCTGCTGTCCTGCTGCTCGTTGCAGCCACAGTGCCTGCTCCTCGAGCGACCTGCCGCCGCCTGCACCTGCTGCTGCTATACTTGTCGTGGTTGTGCATTTGCTGCACCTCCTTCTGCCACAACTACACCTGCTGCCCATGCTCCTGCCTGCTGCTGCTGCTTTCCCCGTCCGTGGTGTACCCCTCCAGGAGGTATTGCTGCACAAACTCCTGCTGCAGGCAGTTATGGGGGAGTGTTGAAAAAAAACAAAATCTTTTATATGCTTGTCCAACTGCCTGTAGCTGTATTTTAGTGAATTTATTATAGATTGTTGGTGGTGCATCTTTCTTTCCATGCTCTCTTTGGTATATGTACTCCTCGCTCAATATTGAACTCCTCTTTTGTTGGCCATCTCTCTTTCCCACTACCAAAACCCTAGCCATGGCTCCCAAGCTTAACTTCGCCCTTTGACACACTGTACTGCATGTGCTTTTTTATAGTTCTGCATGTGAACTGGCCTTGTGGCCGCTTGCTTGTGCTCGGACTGTGTGGTGACTTCGTGATCCACCCCGAGCTTTGTTTTGTTGCCTCTTGTTGTCCCCCACTTCGCCTATGGGGGTGTGTCAAACAGTATAATTGTTTGGTTATATGCTACAATGAGGTACTTTTTAGAGGGTACAACCCAATTAGGATTTACTACCATATTCCCCCCGATATAAGACCCTAGGGTCTTAGGCTAATTTTTTAGAAAAAAAAAGGGGGCGGGGGTCTTAACAAAGGAAAAAACAATTATACCACCTAGATGCAGGGCTTATTTTATCAAAGTAAATTTCCTTGATACCTTCATAATCACGGTGATTATTTAGGGTCACACTTTGGCGTTAAGTGTTTTTTTTTTTATATTACATTTTCCCTGTGAATCAGGGTTTCCATTTTGGGCACATTTTAGAGTATAAGTTACTTGTCCTGTTACTTAGTTTTACCCTGAAGCGAGTATAAGGCATTTTCCCCGGAAACCTCATCCCCCCGCCCTGTACCCTCATCCCCAAGGCGCGAATCCCGACATTTTAGCCACGAATGTACGTGTGTTGGCAGCAGTATGGCTTACCATTGGTCAGATATACAGTTACCTACCGTGCCTACGCGGGAACTGGCTATCTTCTTGTCTTCACCTGCCAACACATAGAACCACCCAGCAAGGGAGAGGACAAGGTGTCGGCGCTCATTCGCGCACTGGGCGCCGCGTCAGTACCTTGGTTACCTTGGTAACACATAACCACATTCACGAAAAGATCTATCAGGGTACGCAAAAATGTTACACTTTACCATGATTTTTTATTGTCAAAATCCCGTGGTTACCCTGATGATTAAAGCCAAGAGTTAGCATGGTGACTTTTCAAGTTATTTGAGGTTGAAATAATACAAAAGAAGGGTGTGTGAAACCTATTTCAGTTGTCTGGCTTTGGCGAGATTAAGATTCCTCCGCGAGCAAGTGAATATTCAGTGCACACCCAACCTGCGATTTCCACCAACCCAACGCGAAAAGTGTGTCGCATGAAGAGATTCCTTAGCCAATCCGAAAGTTTCACATATATGGCCACTCTTACGATGAACAAAGTGTGCCTGCACTGCGTGTCTCCTCACCACTGATTCAACTCGATGCTAACGGGAAACAGAAAAACAGAGCGACACACGTGCTATTTTCAGCGCCACCTACTCATATAAGTATCGGTAACGCCAGATGCTGGCAAAGGAAATGTATTTAAGGGCTCAACGATCATCGCAGAAGCTGGCAACGACACGGCACGGGGGGTGTAGGAACGTCCTAGCGCTGGCGGACATACGGAAGTTATGGTGTTGAGGACGCATTGGACGTCATTCTGTAGACTACAGCAAGACCGTTGGAACCAGTCACAACAAGGAATACTAGCTGTAGTACAGGCGTGACGACATTCTAGAACCCTGCAGATAGAAGAGAGCCCACGCTGTAGGGTCCCCTCGAAACGCGTTACGGGCGGGGACCAGCGCGCACACCCTGCGATGTGCAGCGCGCGCTCCGAGCGACGCGCAGCACGCAAACCGAGCGACGAGCAGCGTGTGCTCCTGGGTGCAAGGAAGGGGATGAGGCGCGGATTTTCGTGATTCCCGTCCTTTCCCCCCTGCTTCCCCTCCTTTCCCCCCCTGCTTCCCCACCTTACTCCCTTGCATCCCCTCCTTTCCCCCGCTAATTCCCCTCCTTTCTCCCCTTGCTTCCCCTCCTTTCCCCCCTTGCTTCCCCTCCATTCCCCCCCTGTTTCCCCTCCTTTCCCCCCTTTTTCCCCCTCCTTTTCCCCCCTGCTTCCCCTCCTTTTCCCTCCTGCTCTCCCTCCTTCCCCCCTGCTTCTCCTCCTTTCCCCCCCCTGCTTCCCTTCCTTTCTCCCCTTGCTTCCCCTCCTTCCCCCCCCTCTTCCCTTCCTTTCCTCCCTGCTCCCCCTCCTTTCCCCCCTTGCTTCCCCTCCTTTTCCCCCTTGCTTCCCCTCCTTTCACCCCCTGCTTCCCCTCCTTTCCCCCCCTGCTTGCCCCTTTTCCTTTCCTCCTTTCCCTCTCCTTCCTCGTCCAATCTCCTCCCTTTTTTCCTCCTCCCCCTCTTCTTATCTTCTCCTTCTCCTCTCCCCCCTCTTCCTATCCCCTCCTTTGCCCCCTGCTAGCCCCTTGCTGCCCCTCAAGAATCTTGAACTTGAAAATTACCATACTATACTCGGGCTTCAGAAGTTCCAAACACGGGTCACACAGATAATCAGGGTCATAAATCCTACACTCTAATCATGGGTTACAAATAATAGAAAGTAAGCCCTGCCCATGTGTTATCATGTGGCATATTTTGTTTTTGGTGTCTTGAACATTACTGTTAATACTGAAGTTGGGGATTGGCTCTTGGTGAGCACGAAGTCAGCGCAGCACTATTCGCTTGGGATGCTGTCAGGTGGTCTTGACCAGTTAGGGAAAATTCGCCCCCTGACAAGGCGAATTCGCCCCTTGACATAGTAGATCCCCCCCTTGACGCAGCAAATTCGTCCCCTGATACTGTGGATTCGCCCCCCTGACGCAGCAACTACACCCAAGAATTTCCGAAATTTATCCCCCAACAATTCAAATTCGCACCCTAGCATGGGAAATTTACACAGGAAACCCCACTATAGGGGATAGGGGGGGGGGAGTTCTTATATTGATCACCCCCCGAGGCAAGGTTGTTTTTATCACAGTAACTACTATGATATCAGAGTCATTTTAGACCTCTCAACTTGTGGTGACTGAATTTTCAGAACTCTTGAATTATGTACACTTACTCAATAAGAGTACACAAGTACTCATCCCTGAAACTTTCTACACAGGCTCAGACTTATATGTTTCTCGAGCTTGAGTTTACAGAGCCGGGTTCCTGTGGTCCCTGAAATTTGACTTATCGAGGCGAAGGTTCTCCGAAGCTTCTTCCCGATAATACCCACTTTCGTAATGATGCACCACAGTTCCAGCATGTGAACAAACTATGCAACCTTGGACACCGGAGTACACTCAGTCCTTGGTACAGTCACTAAGCATTGGGTGAAAATTTACGTTGACTTGTGAAGATGGACCGAGGAGAGTTATTGTTTTTTTTTTTCCGCGAATCACACATGGAGTCATTATGAATAATGCCAAATGTATGGGAATTCCGAGAAGCCACGCGTTATTGTCAAAACATATATGTTTATTATTATCTAGTATCTAGTGGGGTTAGCCTTTAGGGGGTACAACAAGTTTCTCGATGCCTTCTTTGTACTCCCCTCCCTTCACCTAGGAACTGTTCGCCACGACTACGTGAACGCTAGGGGCGGGGGATGGGCGAGGGGATCTTGAAGGTGCAAACGAAGTTGCCAATTACGTCCGGGGGCTCGCCCCTGCTTGAAATTTCGCAATGGGTTCGGGAAGGGGGGCAAGGGGATGGAGCACCTCCCTCCCTCCTTCCTTTGAAGGCAAATTTCCCGTCCAGCCCGTCACACACCCCTGTAAAGGGTGGTATGCACGATGGTGCCACGAGGGAGGGGAGGGCATTCCCATTTGGCAGGGCAAGAAACTGCCCTGCTCATTCGAGATCCCTCGACCCAACCATAAAGGGTGGGTGTTCGCCACAACAGCGAGCCCACCGAGGTTCGGAGGGGATCGTCAGGCTCGACAGGATTTTGTCGGTCTGACCGCCCCCAAAACCCTGATTTCAGCCCTTTACGAATGTGCAAGGGGGATTCCAGATCCCTTCCCCATCCCTTTGAAGGCCCACAAAGGACGTGGCGAACAGGGCCCTAACATTCATTCCTCTCCTACTATTCTCGACACGGTATAGAGCAGTTACGTTTAGGACAGTATTTTTTAAGGGCCTACCCTTCCGCTGCCCGTAGCGCGACCCTAGGGCGCGTCCTTTTTCCTGCCAGTCGTGCGCCCCTAGGGCGCGACCGTTTTCTGCCCGCAACGCGCCCCTAGCTCTGCCCGCTGGAATTGCCCTGCCCTGCGCGCTACCCCACCCACACGCGACTACCCTGCCCCGTACGCGCTCTGCGTGTCTCTGCCCTGCGCGCTAACGCTGCCCCGCCCCGTCCAGCGCACTGCCTGCACACTGCGTGCGCGGCCTGCATTGCCCGCGTGCTGCCCTGCGCCGCCTGCGAGCGCCCTGCCTGCGCTGCCTGTGCTGCCTGCGCCACCAGCGCCGCCTGAGCCGCCTGCACTGCCTGCGCCGCCCGCGCTCACTGCCCTGTGCGCGCTGCCCAGCTCTGCCCTGCCCTGCTGAGCTGCTGTTGCGCTACTACAGCTGCTGCGCTCTGCCCTGCCCTGCCCTGCCTAGCCGCAGCTGCGCTGCCGCCTGCTCCTTACCAGCGCCGCCCGTGCGCTGCCCCTGCTGCTTGTGCTGGCTCCGCTGCCATTCAGCAGCTGCTGTTGCCACCCTTGCCTTGCTGTAGAGGCTACTGCTGTTACAGATCCTGCTGCCAGCAGCCACAACAGCCCCTGCTAATGCTGCTACAGCCCCTGCTTCTGCTGCTGCTACAGCCCTGCTGCTGCCGCTACAGCCCCTGCTGTCGATGCAATAACCCATGTTGCTGCCGCTACAACCCTGCTGCTGCCGCTACGGCCCTGCTGCTTCCGCTACGGCCCTGCTGCTGCCGCTCCAGCCCTTGCTTCTGTCAGTACAACCCCTGCTGCTGCCTCTCCAACCCCTGCTGCTTTCACTACAGCCCAGCTGCTGCCGCTACAGCCCTACTGTTTCTTCTACAGCCCACCTGAAGCCATTACAGCCCTACTACTGCCGCTACAGCCCTGCTACTACAGCTACAGCCCCTGCTGCTGCCACTAAAGCTCTGCTGCTGCTGCTATAGTCCTACTACTGCTGCTATATTCCAGCTGCTGCCACTACAGCGCTGCTTCTGCTGCTGCAGCCCTGCTGCCGCCGCTACAGCCCCTGCTACTGTCGTTACAGCCCTGCTGCTGCCGCTACAGCCCCTGCTGCCGCCGCTACAACCCCTGCCGCTGCCGCTACAGGCTTGCTGCTGCCGCTACAGGCTTGCTGCTGCCGCTACAGCCCTTGCTGACTGCCGCTACTTGTCATGGCCACTCTCTTGGTCTTAGTGGTTGATGCAGATGGACGCCTTTTCAAGTTCAGGTTGTAGCTTACGTGTCTACGCATGTATCTCCGGCATTCCCTTACAGATATCTTCTCCCTACTCGAGCACAGGTCGGGGTCCTTTCAGGCCCCCGTGTCTCCCACTGAGCCTGCTGCTGACGCTGGCGAGGACGTGCAGAGGCGATACCAGGCGGACATGTTTGGATATGAGAATGAATTAACTAATGAATGAATAAACAAGCAAGATATAGGAAACCTAACCCTAACCCTAGGGAAGAGAAAGTACACCTAGACTTCACAAATAGAAGCCTGAACAAATATAGCTTGACATACCCCTATAGTTTAGGTGACGGTAATCCTGTGAAAAGCAACACATAGCAAGGGTCACAGGAGCAGTCAGCAAGAACACGCAACGGTCACAAGACCAGTTCACAAGAACACAACAAATTTCGGGGTGGATCTCAAGATCACCACACAGTCCGAAAACAAGCAAGATGCCACAAGGCCATTCCACATGCAAGGATATAGCAAATGTAAAAGATGCAAAAGTACAAGACGAGCATCTCTACAGAAGCAAAAGGCCACAAGGCCAGTCCACAAGCAGAGATATATAGATATGGCAAATATAGAGAGATGCAAGAGTACAATGTAAAGCATCTCTACCAGGGCTCCAGATTGGTTTTGGGCCACCCTTAGTAATCAGGGTTCTAGGTATAGTCAACCCTGATGCGTAGGGTAACTTTTTTGTTTACCTGACAAATGCAGGGTAAAGAAAATGTTAGTCTGTTTGGTCAGGATGTTTTTTTCAAAAAACGCTATCAATAATGACAAAATAGTATTGTTCAGCAGTTAGTAGTTCAGTTGATGGAAGTACGAATTATAATCGAAAGGTTGCAGATTCGAGTCTCGCTAGTGGTAAGTGTTTTGCAGAAGCCTGAATGGTCTTTGGTCTTGCTACGGAGCTTTCGGTATCATTCTATCTGGGATTGTACAGTGTTACAGTCAGAGAAATATGTTCCTTACCCTGTTTTTCAAAGGGTACAAAAGAACTTACACTTTCTGGCCTAGGGTAAAAAATCCTTCAGTACCCTGCCTGTGAAAGGGTAACTGAAAAAAAGCGGCCGCCAGTCAGTGCAAAAAGGGTATTTTACCCTGATAACGAGAGGCCTGATCTCTACACAAGCAAGTGAGGGCTTATAGACACAAGCCCAAGCTGGGTGCAAAAACGCTGGTGGTCATAGGCGGCAACGCCTTGGTGAAGGTATCTGCAGTGTTGGCCTTAGAGACCATACGTACCACGCGGGCCTGGCCACGCTGCTGCAACTCGCGCAGAAGGAAGTAACGAAGCTGGATGTGCTTCGCCTTCCCAACCAGTCGGGGCTCTTCGCACAACAGGACAGCAGACCTGTTGTCGGCGAACAAGACTGGGGGAGAGCGAGGCCGCTCACCAAGGTCGGTGAGGAGGAAAGACAGCCAGCGAAGCTCCTTGGTGGCCATAGCCGTAGCGTACACTTGCCTCACAGCTGGAACTGGAGACTGACGACCTCCACGAAACAGCTCCGGTCCCAACACTAAAGCAGTGTCCTTGTGTAGAACGCAACGACTCTGCGTCGTCGGCCCACGACTAGTCCGAGTAACCTGTAAGTGTGACTGGTTGCTTCCCTTCAAGGACAAATCCCATGCCCGATGTACTTGCCACATACTTTGCCAACCTCTTAGCCGCGTAACAGTGAAAAGGTCTGTGTCTCCCAGGCGCAACAAAGTGTGCCAAGACGCTAAGAGGGTACGGTAGGCACGTTGGCCTTTCGACGCAAGGGAAAAACCGTGGTATAGTGGGAGTAGTCATCCACCACAATCAGGAAGATAGCTCCTGACGTGGGCCAAGGACCGGGGAGGGGCCCCAGACATCCAAGTGCAGGGTTTGTAACGGAGCCATGGTGAAGGGAACAAGGAGGAGTGCAAGGCGACAAAGGCGAGCGGAGGAGCGGAGCGAGCGACTCTGGGAGACCTGAGACCAGACGGTGGCGTACCATCCTACTAAGACGCGGGAAGGAAGGGTGCCCTAGAAAGTGGTGCAAGAGGACCGACGGGTGGCTGAGTGAACGACAGTCGCACGACACAGCAGCTACCTGACCTGACCTGACCTGACCTGACTCAGTG